GGGACTACATTACTGTTAAGAGCAGCAATGGCGGAGGAGACAAAACTCTTGCTGCATCTTCACTGTTTCCACCTTATTAAGACATCCTTTATTTGTCCCACAGTGGGGGAAATTTCAGTGTTGCATCACCGGTTATAGAACAGTACAAATGAGGAGCACACAGCAGAAGATAAATGAACAAGAAAGAAGCATAAAATCTCTATCTTCAGCATAATGAGCACACAAAATTCTGACTAATTTAGCAAAATAAAGAAGTCTAAAATCTCTAAAATGTGGTTCTATATTGATTACGGATTACGACTATAAAGCAAACCACTGCACAATGTCTTAAATAAGTGACTTCAAAAGACTTCTACTGTTACTTCCTCGACGAGACCCATCCAGGATCACGTTTCCACAACATGGCAACACAAAGGGGCACATCTGACGACAAACAATGTAATCTAGACACTGGGAACACCGCACCATTGCTTTTATTTGGCCATTTCTTCAAAGTCTTCATGACCAGAGCGGTAAACGTGTATGGTGTAGTGTTATCCAGGCCGCTGGGCAGGGGCCGCTGTAAACACGTAAGCCGGCAGGATCAAGTTAGCGCCCAGTATACATTATCAGCATGTTACACCCTAACATTACATTGGCTTATAAAAATAGAAGGTTTGTGTTGGCTATTTGGGGAGGGCACAGTTGTTACAGAAGCTGACTTGGACTTGGTTGCATATACAAATGTGTTTTTCAAGTGGATGTAGCTGTGTGTGGAATAGAATAGGGAATAGTGAATGATTGTATATAGACTTTGTTCAGTCTATATCAGGAGTTTCCAACTTTTTTCAAACAGAGAGTTACTTTTTTACAACAGAACAGGCGGGGAGCTACTTCTTTTTGCGGTCATAGTAAAAATGTGTGTAATAATTATGACAAAACATGGGAAACAGATATGAAAAAAACCATAATACTGTATAACCCTATATTTATACTTATAATAGATATGCAATTACTCAAAAGTGAAGCTACCTGGGGAGCTACCTGAAAAAGGGCTGGCGAGCTACAGGTTGGAGAGCCCTGGTCTATATTGTTCAAGTCAATCGATCATTCAATTTATTTTTCTAAAGCACAATTCATGCAGTGCAATCAAAGTATTTATTTAATTTGAATTTTATTTAGACTTTATTATAGGACTCATATGGAAGCACAGGATCCATGGCTATTTTTTGTACTTTACAAAGACTTAAAATCATACACAATCATAAAGATGGTAAAACATGTAAGGGTAAATGAGCTTAACACAACTCAATGTTAGAGGAAATCAATATTTATAACTCGCTCTTATTTAAAACTTATTATTATTACGTTAATGTTAAAAATGTATAGTGTATGTTGTTGGAAAATATTTAAAATAGTTATTTATTGGTTTCCCGAATACATTTTGACTATTTATTATGTCGTGAGACATCGGTAATGGCCCAAGAGTTCCCAGATTTTTGCCAATTGTCTTTGTTTGGGGTAACTTCTAATGATTGAAAACAATCTCAGCTAGTATCAACATGCCATGACCGAATCTTTAAACACCAAATATGGAATTTACACTCATTGTGATAAAATCTATGCATCTATTATTGATGACAGTAAAAAATCCGAAAAATATGATGTCCAAGCCCAGACCGAGATAGCAGAGACCGTAAATAGTTAAGATACACGTTTCGTAGATCATTTTAAAAGTTGGAACCTCTAGAATCATGAGAAATAGTGAGAAATCAAGTGATAATCATTCAGGTGACTTCAGCACTGCCAAATGTAAATCAAAATTCTCATGTCAAAAATGTTAACAGCACGAAAGCAGCTGGTTTTTTACTTTTTTTCCAAAAGAAAAATGAAAAATAGCTCGATAAATCTGTCATTGACAAAGCAAAATCCCAGAAAATCAGTATTGGTTCAAAATAATCCAAATCCTTCACTTGTGTGTTTAAAAAGAACAATATGAGTGTGTTTTGGTCTTGTCCATTAGATATCTGTTTACCAAAAAATATCAATATAAATTAATTCTCTCCCACGACCAAAATGTAATAACAACCCAGAATATTATTGAACCTGTCCAGAGGCGGTTGTTACATGTTCCCCTGTGTATATGTGCTGACTTTATGCAACTGTGAAATGTTTTGAGAGTGACTGAAAGCGTGTTGAATTGTGTGACATGCAGCTGACTGGCACTGGCATGTTTATCTCTCTGCAGAAGACACGTTTTCCATTTTTTGTATATCTCTTTTTCTGTCTGTCTGTCTATCTGTCTGTCTGTCTCTTTGTCGCTCTCTTTGTCTGTCTCTGTCTCTCTGTCTGTCTGTCTGTGTCTGTCTGTCTGTCTGTCTGTCTGTCTGTCTGTCTGTCTGTCTGTCTCTGTCTGTCTCTCTGTCTGTTTGCCTGCCTGCCTGCCTGCCTGCCTGCCTGCCTGCCTTTCTGTCTGTCTGATAGTAAGGTTTTGATTTTATTTCAAATTGAATAGGGATTTAAAAACGGATTGTTTTATTTGAAATGGTCTCTCTGTCAGAAGTCTTACTGTATCCCTATCATCAAACTGTCCAGGGACTGCAGTGGAAACTCGAATTTCTGCTAAAATCTGGCAAGGTCTCAGTGATAGTAAGAGATAGTAAGAGTAACATATGGGCTTCTGTGGCATGTTATACAGTTGTCACACACTATATTGTGGTTCACTTCTCATGTCCTCACTGCTTTGCTGATTTTGTGTGTGCAATTTTGTGTGCTTTTTATAGTCTGCTACTCTACTGTGTGTACTCCAACAACATGGTACACAACATGACCGCTTGTTTAACAGGACTCTTCTCAGGGTCAGAAGAAACGGTTAGTTTGGAGGACTACTGCAGAGATTAGTTCAGAGGACTACCCCTCATTGTTCTTTGAAGCTGTGTTTTACAGTGTATGCACAGCTTTTGATAGCTGCAGCAGCTTTCAGACGCACAACAAACAGGTTTCATATTTCCACGGTCGTACTTAAGCAATTGTGAATTCAAGGGCTTTAGAAAGTGTGTAAATTGTGTGTGAGGGGTTTTACAGCTTTAAAACATATACAGTAGCTGCCACTTCAAAGACTTAAAAATCCTAACCTCCCTGCTAAACGAGGGACCACGTACATCATTTTAAAGATGATTTTCTCAAGATTAAAAACATGCAATTTATTTTATTCTAAACATTGAACCCAGAACACATTCACAGTCATAATAATAATTGGTCTATCAGTCTGCAATAACAAGCCTGCTTTACTTTTGGTCCGGTTTTAGTTCATGTATCCATCTTCTTTTGTTCACAGAAAAGTCAAAATGTCAAGTTGAAATAATTGAACGAATTTAGTCAAAAATACCTTCATTTGTTAATCAATAAAACTAAAATAAATTAGTCAGAGGCCTTATATACAAGATTTCCACAGAGATAATGATGGAGACCTTTGATAGCACAGTAAAACCTGAAGACCCCAGCTCAGAATGGTTGTGACAGATAACCCCCTGACTTTGCTGGTGAGGGGGGGTACAAAAAAAGGTTGGGGACCTCTGCTCGAGACTCTAGACTGTCAGAAAGTTCTTTATGAGCAGAGCATACATTTATCTTCCCTCATATTTCATGCTATCACACGAAGTCTACACACGATACAGATGTGCTCATAAATGTACATGTGCCAGATCCTTTATGACCGCACTAGTTACTGTTGGAAGTTGTGATATAATTTGTTACGCGGTTTTAAAAATGCATTCTGAGACTTTCTCTTGATATATCGGCAGTGAAACTTTAGTAAGACTGTGCTGTCCAATTAACTTAAGTATTGTCTTATGCTTTCATTCAAATTATGGTCCTCCTAAATCTGGACTTACATACAAAGACATACGAAGAGAAAAATCATAAATGTAGTTTTTTACTCTTGGGACATTGATTAACTTGTATGGATAAATACTATAAATACAATAATTGGCTTAACATTTGTATATGGACCAAAATAAAAGCTGGAGTGCCTAACTTTTTCCTCATAAATACTGCACGGATAGTTTTTTAAAGAGTCTTGTAAAAGTAAAAACAAATCAAACCATTGCTGTCTCTTTGTCTCATTAGAAAACATGTCTGTGTGGGCTGAGAGCTGATTGGCTGAGGGAGGCTGGTCCTTTCTTTTTCACTTTTCTGTCTCAAGAAGACACAGATATGACAGAGGCCAGAAACACATGCATAGAAAAATAGTGGTCTAGCCAAACTATTTTACAAGAGAGGAACTAGTTTCATGCACTATTATTACAAAACTAGTTCCATGTGTTGTGGTTGGGAAGATAGATACCCTGGCTTTAATCAATTTATGTTTCAAGATTTTTTTTAAGATACGAAAACATTTTTATATTTAATTTGCAAAAACTGATATTTTGGTTTTGAAATTGTTTCAAAACGTTGTACTCCTAGCTACGATATTCAAAATCTTTTATCATTGGCAGTACATTTGAAAAGATTTGCTCAAGAAGAGGTGAAAAGTGATTTGTATGTTTGCTAATTTTGTTTGCTAAAATAGATCTGCTTTTTCAAATTATTACTTGATAAGATAAGATCAACTTTATTGGTCTAACAATGGAGAAATTTACGTCTTTCTGATATTTTTCAAATGTCACTTATCTGTTTTTGGAAATGTACTTTTCCTCTGTCAATTACCTCTACAGTAAAAACAATTCTCCTTCAGCTATGAATACTTTAGAGGGGAACCAACACTGGGTCCTTGCCCCCACAAACCCCATTACCAACGACGCCCCTGTCCTTTTGCAAAACTTGGCATACAATTTTTTTTTGTTTTTTATCCAACATTATCGAAATTGCCAGCACTTAACACCACACAATGAAATATTCTAATGGCGATTTGGAAGTGGGACGCCGCACGCACATGGATTGCACGCACAACAAGATCTGATCCATTCCATCCAAATGAAACAAAAACGCAAGAAAACGCTATGACAGACGCACTCTCTCACCTCATTGCGCTGCAGATGGAAAAAGTTGTTGAGATAGTTGGAGTTGAGCGGGGAGCTGAGGTCTGCCGCTGCGGGAGTCTTGCTGAAGTTGTGATCCGAGTGGGACGAGTTGGGTTCGGGTCTGAAGGCGTCAAACGCGCTGGTCTGGTGCGGCTCTTGCAACGACAGATAGACCCAGTTCAAAAGCTGCGCAGGCTGGTACACAGACGCACTGGTATCGATGGCAGACAGCAAGCTCATCTTTTCATTCACACGGATTTCTCAGCTGTCTTTTTTCTTTTGTATGGACACACTCGTCTCGACTGGTTCCTCTGGTGTCCTCCCTGTCCCGGCGAACAGCACGGGCAGCCTCCACGTCCCAAAGCAAGATGTTACTCGCAGGTCATCGCGCATAACACGTCAGGATGAAAACTTTCCCCATGCCCCGTTATCTGCCTTTATTGCAGCGAGGCAGAGAGGGAGCAGTCCTTGCATATGTAATGAGTGCGTGTGTGCGTCACGGCAGCGGCGCACCAGAGCCAAAAGGGGGCGGGGCTGCGACAAGCGCGTCTATGGCATGGGTCTATAATAATGTCTGGTCTATGGTGGTTTAGGATGAAGGCTCACACAAACAAAATGGGATTATTGGCCTTATCCGTGAATGTCAGAATTTAAACTGTATAAAAGCTCAATATATAAAACTGAGTCATATGCACAGCTAAAAGAGCGGTTTTCAGCTTGGACTTAAACAGGATAAGACATCACATAAAACACATAACAACACTATATGGCTATATGGCTTTACAACAAGATTTCAGAAATGTCTTTTAATCGCATAGTAAATGTATATAGAGACAAAGTGAAGTGTTGACTTTTTAGGTAAAGGCAAGTTATGAAGAGCTTAGAAACTCAAGAAAATCCAAGGCACTCGAGGTCAATAGTTAAGAGAGTTAAAAAGCCTTTATTTTCTCAAGACTGTGATTTAAAATACGCACCAACGCGTTTCGGCCTTGGCCTTCTTCAGGATGCAAATGGGGGCACCAGTGCCCATGTGTTATATATAGGGAGAGGCTTCATTAGACTCTTCTTCAACTCCTGGTGTTGTTGCATAATGCAGTATAGCCTCCCTTTCTTTTGTGGTGTTAAATCTGGGGTACCTAATTCATCAAATTATATATATTGATGCATTGGTTTTATAATGCCTTTTGGGGACTCAAAGACGCTTCAGATCACATTATTCATTCACTCCTTTCACAGTGGTGATAAACTACTACAGTAGATACACCTGTCCTGGGGCAGACTGACAGAAGCGGGGCGGCCATTAGCCCCTCTGACCACAGACCAAACCTACTGGCAAACTGGTTGAAGTGTCTTGCCCAACAACAGTTTGGCACTTTACAGCCAAAGCAGCCCATTGTGGTGCACCCAGAGGTCTCCCATCATAGTGCTCACCAGGCCCTGTCCTGCTTAGCTTCTGCAGATCTGGCTTTTCCATACAGGTGGCGCTCACAACAAAAATCATGTCTCTATAGTTCCTCACTCTCAAAACAGTTGCTCATCTCACTAATTTTCACCTGTGTGTAGTTTTTGGCCTCTGTCACATCTTTACGTCAGCGTTTTTCAAACAAAACAAAAAAAAAATAGAGGACCACCCTCACTCAGCCAATCAGCTCTCAGCAAAAGAAGTATGCAGCAGACAACATGTTTTATAATAAGATTATTGCAGTAAGCTATGGTCTGATTTATTCTCAAGATTCTACTTTTACAATACTGTTAAAATAAACAGCTTGTAAGCCTATTATTTCTTAGTGAGGTAAAACTCAGGTAACCCAGCTTTAACGGGGAAGGAAATAGTCACTGCCATTTGTTCTTATTAAAAGTCCATTTTCCCATTTATTTTGAGACTCAATCATAAATGTACCTGCAACACTTATTAGCAGAACAGAGTAAAACGTCTATCACAGGTGTCTCCAACCTTTTTCACCCAGAGAGCTACTCCTTTAAGCAACCTTGGGAAAACTGTGGTGATATCTTGGTGTGAACAAGCCTGATATTGAGCACAGTCATTATTTATCATCACATATTTATTAAGTGTATTATTTGATTTGTTCATTTCTACATCCTTTGGTGAGCTATCTGGAAGGGGGGGGGGGGGGGGGGGGGGGGGTGAGCTACTGGTGGCTAGTGAGTGATCATATAATGTCACAAAACCTACGGGGATCCCCTCCAGTGACTGTATAAGAATACTTTATCTGGGGCTCCCTCTTGTGGCGGACCAGCGCACTAATGTATGGAATGTTGGGTTAAATTGTTTCTCAGCTGCAATGACGCATTTGTTTTTTATATTCTTTAAAAAATCCAGATGGACCTGTTTAATGTTTTGTGTTTTTATTTGTGTTTCGAGGTTGAGATGTTCTATACTGGCCCTTCCTGTTCCATTTCTTATAAACCATTTACAGTATGCATTCAATGAGAAAGGATTTAATTTTTGCAAAGAGCAGTTCATAAAAAATAGGACGCAGTAATTTATTACCATCAAAATAAGCCTATAGTCACGTGTCGTGTACTGTGATTTTTTTCACTATCGTATTTTTTACTTTAAGCACTTGAAAATATATGTATTGAAAGTTTTTTTTAATTTTGAAATTAAACTGAATTCAGGTTTATTTAAATTGTAAATCTGATGGAACAAATTATTTGTCTATTTTTCATCAATTTACACCGTGCATTGAATTTGAGGGCTCAAAAATGAACACATTGATTATTTTAAAGGCAAATGTGTCATTTTGAAATTTTAAATCACATTAAAATGTGTGCACTGGTGTTTTTTACGTGACTGAAATTCTAATTCAAAAATATTCAAACATGCTTTTTCATGGTTATAAATTTCAAATGGAAAAATTCAAGCTCATTTAAAATTCTAAATCTGATGACACAAAAAATCTTCCATGCTGAGCTAAATATATCTCATGCATAATAATTATTGACCAAATAATAACATGGTCAGACCTTGTTATAGGAGTATTTCCTCTTGCGGATACCTACTAAACACTTTTCCATGTAGTCATTCTTTACATGTCTATATTATATTATAAGCCTATAGCGAGTGGTCCTTAAGATTCAGACGTATGTATCAAAATCTGGAATAGTCTTGCTGAAAATGTGAGACAGGCTTCTACTTTGACCATGTAAAAGCAGTTCCGTTAGCTGTGCATACAACAAGGATTGTATATTTTTAATGTACTGTAATTATTTATGATTTGAATGTCTTTTGGGATTTTAGTGCATACTTGTTTGTTTTAGTTGTTTTGTTTGAGTTGTGTATGAACTGTGCTTGCCTTGCCTAATTCTCACGCATGCGTATTGCGTAATAACCATAAACAAAATATAAAAAAGGCCAGACCGTGTCATGATACGAGTATTTCCCCTCACGTATAGCAACCTACAATACACTTTTTCCACACAGTCATGATTATCATTTACAAGTCTATACCTTTACGGTGACGTCATGCCTTCATACCAGGCTCTATCTTTGCGGTGACGTCACAGCTCTTTTCCACGTTCCGTCACCTGACAGCGCGCTCAGGTGACCCGCAGTGATCCCCAGTGACCCGTAGGTGAGGCTGAGAGCTGTGATTCAGAGCACAGTCCGCTTCCAGTCCGCCCTGTACGCCTGTGACTGGACAGGGGTGGGAGCTCTGAATGGAAACTCCGAGTCCCACCCACTTCTCTTAAGTACACACTTTTATTCTGCAGACGCGCCGCGACGCACTCCAGGAAGATCTACTAACCGACACAAGTAAGTTATCCATGCGTATTGCAACGTTTTTGAGCGCGTAGACGAGGGAACAGACGTAAAATAGGGCAACGATCGTCTTATAATCTAAGTTTACTATCGCGCCAAGTCACCGTCAGACGTCTCCAGCCTCCTGCGCTTTCCCGTGCAGCCAAAAATAACCGTCCACGGCCCCAGGGATACAAGGTTACACTGCTAATAAACCAGTTCTTCTCACTGCTCCTTTTATGTTTGTTTTCCTATCCGCTTCTTCCAACATATTAGAATTTCTCATATCTCAGCAATAGGGGTAAGTAAATATACAAGGCCATGGCGCTGCGTCTAAACCTTATCTTTCTTCATGGCTCAGACACTCATCTAAATGTTTTCCAAATATACAGTCACAGCAGAAAAAAGCTGAGTGTTCAATAAGTCGCTTCTCTGGTTCCATCTATTGATTACATTGCGGTGTTTACGTGTATGTACACGGACTAAAGAACAAGCATACTTCCTGATTCAAGTTTTGTTGCTTAACAACGTGTGGTTATAATGTAACCACACATGACTCTATATAGATTACACTGAACCAACGTCTGTGTGTATGTATATATATATATATATATATATATATATGCATTTGCACTATTCAGTGGTTGTGTGTTAGAAGGCCTTCTCTAGTATTCATTATGTGTATGGGGCTACTGGTAAAAAAAACAGTTGCTTTCTCTGTTGCTTTTCTTCAAATGCACAGAGGAGGCGGAGTCATGTACAGTCACTTTTGCCATGGAACAAGAAGTGGACCTCTAACTTAGGGTTAGTTATTAAGGCTGCCAGAAAGTTTCCTCATTCCCAAGAGGCCTGCTATACAAGCCCTTGTATAGTGACCAACTGACCGTGGTCATGTTTCTGAGTGGCGTGTGGCCAAAACAAAGACTGTTTTATCGGTGGTATGTAGCGTTTGTGTGAGAGGCTGAAATCTGAGGTTTTATTGTTTTGTAAACATGAATCTTGATCCAGAAGTAGAGACAGAAGGCTTTGTTTTACACTCGTCTTTTAGCGTCCTGGTTCTCTAGACTGGTCTCATGAGTCCTGGTTCTCTTCTAGACTGGTCTCATGAGTCCTGGTTCTTGAGACTGGTCTAATGTCCTGATTATAGACTGTTGAATTGTTGTCTTGCAGATTATGAGTTACCCTGGATACCCTCAGCAGGGAGGATACCCTCCGCAGCCCGGAGCATACCCGCAGCCCGGGGGCTACCCTCCCCAGCCCGGGGCCTACCCGCCTCAGGCAGGAGGGTACCCAGGATTCCCCCCTCAGGCAGGGGGCTACCCCCCTCAGGCAGCTGGGGGTTATCCCCCTCAGCCCGCAGCTGGGGGCTATCCTCCTCAGCCCGCTCCTGGGGGATACCCTCCACAACCTGGAGCCTATCCTCCTGCTCCTGGAGGATATCCTGCTCAGCCTGGAGGCTACCCAGCTGCTCCTCCACCAGGTTTGATTTGTATTTATGTATTTCTTTAACTGAAACCGTGCATAATATTGAACACAACTGATCAGACACATATCAGATTTTTGCCAAAGGCTAATTTCCATCTGTTGTCCCAATGTGTACAATGTGTACAATATGTACAATGTGTACAATGTGTACAATATGTACGATATGTACAATGTGTACAACCTCCCACAGCGTTCTACTGTGTGGACAACAGTGTGTGTCATACTATAACACACAGAGTACACAGGCGAGGCACCATTGTTCTACCTGTGCCATACATACCTGGACATTTTAGCAATATTTCCATGTTTGCAGTTTTTAATTGCAGTATTTTGTTGGTACTGTGGAACCTCAAGGTTTTTCCAATTCTGTTGTAGTCTATTTTTAACTCCCAACATTAATGCTGAGCTGTTCCTGATCATGTGACTCTGTTTCTCTCTAAATGCTGATAAGCTGATGCTATGACACACAGGCCTAAGTCCTGTTTAAAACAGCATCCCCCCTGTTGGCCCAGAACCACTCTGTTGACTCTTACTGGTTTTCTGTGACAGGCTCTTGGGGAGGCGGTCCCACTGGAGGTTATCCTACTATTGGTCTTGGGGGTATGTCCAACCCGGGTTATCCTGGAATGGTACGTTTTGTTTCCTTTTTAGCTAATCCAAAAAAAATATGATACAGTAGTACTCTTCAATGTAATATGTTATTTACATGAACTATTCCAGTCAGCATGATTATTGAACCATTTAAAGGAGCATACAGTAGGCTGTCATAGGTAAGACTTTTGTAAAGCCGTCTCAAAAGCCCTGAGCTATCTTTTGTGCTGCCAGCCTGACCTATCCATCTATCTTTGCATGAGGCAATACATCAACACGATCGTCTGTTTTATTCCGCTTTTATCACCTCTTATTGCTTTGTCTTCTCAGTGTTTATATTGTTTTTTATAATATCGAGAATGCACTTTATTTGGATATTATTACAGTTCTATGTAAAACTCAAAAACACAATTGAATTTCCATCTAACATATGTTGTGTCAATATCCAGGCCAGGTACTGCTAGTGTAAATTAGAATCTCGTATTGGTGAATTTTTATTGTACACCATTAATTAACAAATAACACTATTTGAAGCGAAATCCCCCAGTGACCAACACTTGAATCCAAAAAAGGTGCATCATGCTTTGTGCTTTTGGTAAAGGTCAAAGGTCTGTGAGCATATGATTGTATTCTAATCTCTCCACCTCACAGGACGCCATGAATCCAGCCATGGGTTCCTACCCTACTCTGCCCACCACTGGCGGGTACCCTGCAGCCCCACACATGGGGGGCTATGGGGCCTCCTGCCCTCCTAACCCACAGTGTGGCATGTACCCACAGCCAGGAGCACCTCAGCCCCAGGCCCCAGGGATGAACTACCCCGCTGGACCAGGACAGCCCATGCCCGGATACCCCAAGGCCCCGTCACCCAACCCAAACATGCCCGGCTTCGGAGGAGCACCAGCACCTATGCCGGGGTATCCCAAGGCTCCCTCTCCCAACCCAATGGGAGGCTATGGAGGAGGGGGCATGCCAGGAGTTCAACCCGTGCATGTAAGGAAATATCGCTTTAAAAGACACAACTAGACCCTTTGTTTTTACACTACACCAACAGATGTGTAAGGTAGAAGGTCAGGACATTTATCATTGCACAAATATATAATAATAATAATAATAATAATGCATCGGTTTTATATAGCGCTTTTTTGGACAATTTTTGGACTCTTCACATGTGTCATTATTCATTCACTCCATACACGGTGGTGATAAACTACTATTGTAGCCACAGCTGCCCTGGGGCACACTGACAGAAGCGAGGCAACCAGTGCCATCGGCCCCTCTGACCACCACCAACCATTCACACACACACCAGACTCATTCTAGGCAATGGGGGTGAAGTGTCTTGCCTAAGGACACAACGGCAGTTTGGCACTTTACAGCCGCAGCCGCCCCACTGTGGCTGGTGTTCCCAGAGGTTAAGTGTCTTGCCAAGGACACAACGACAGTAGTCAGTGGGAGTCGATGGTGAAAGTCTTGAGCGGGGATTGAACCCACGACCTTCTGGCTCAAAGGCCAACGCTCTACCAACTGAGCTACTGCCGCCCTATATATATAATAAGAAAACTTCATTGGAGAAAACCACAGCAGCAGCATTTACACATATACATTGACCCGATGCATTCTGCTGCTGGTTAAATTTTAGTGAATGTGAGTTGCTTTTCAGATAGCGAAGAGAGAGACAAGCTCTAGACCCGCCCATGCTCATGGCTGCAGCCTCCAGACTGGTCAAAATAAATTCAAATCCTTGTTGCGTGCCTTGTTATTGGTTTAACTGTTCAATTCAATTCAATTATTGTTTTTATTAATCTTAATCCAAACAGCAGTCATCTCAGAGGACTTTACAAAATCACTGATTCACCAACAGAGAATAAAACAGTTTGAACACAAGAAATGCAATAATAATAAACTCATCAAACATATGAGCCATCGGTCCATAGGGAGCATTACGACCACCCTCCTGCGTTGGCAAGGAATGACTGAGAAAAAGAAAAGTGGTGGGGAAAAGTGAGAAACCTTGGCGAGGCCCATGAGAGAGACATCTGCCTCTGTTCTCCTCCAGCAATTCTTACTGGTCATAGTTATGCAAAGGGGAGGGACCATTATACTTGTATTGTTCTTACAAGCACATAATACTGTCTCCCATGGTCACTTTTGAAAATGAAATACAAAATAGGTTGCCAACATCACCAAAATACGAGAACATGAATGAATATAAGTACATTTTTATTCAAAGTAAAGGTTGTCTACTTATATGTAATAACTGAACATATTATGCATTTATTTTGTTTAGAAAGGATTTAGGGGAACAATCAAGGACTATCCTGGTGCTGACCCACTCAAAGACGTGGAGGTCCTACGGAAGGCTATGAAGGGCTTTGGTGAGTTCATGGGTTCAACTCTATTCGAACAAAAAATATACAAGGCACTTTTTGCATGAGATTAAACGGCTGCTTTTATGACGTTGGTCTTTGTAGGAACGGATGAGAACGCCATTATTGAGTTATTGGGCAGTCGCTCCTGCAGACAGCGCGTGGCCTGCCTCAAAACTTTTAAAACCGCTTACGGAAAGGTAATGCATTGAACTTTTTTAAAAACTTTTTAAATAAAGGAGAAATATGTACAAATCTGGCCAAAAGTGGTACTGCGACCTCTCCCGCTCTCCCTGACTCAGGTTTCCAGATATGCAGACGAGTCCAGCTGGGACCATAATATTTGAATAGACAAGAGATTTGTCAATAACAAATAGGCCCCCATAGAAATTCTCATTTTATTCCTTGTTTTGTCATTAATGATTTGAGAATCATAACGAGACCTTTTTCAGTTCAGCGACCAAATGGTACTTTGGTACTAGTGAGATTAGCTGGACGCGGTGAGTTCTGGCAACCCGGATCACGGACTTTCTGATTGGTAAAACGGTGGCGGGTGGGACATCGAAATGAAAACAATAACAAGATTTACGGGCTGTAAAACTAATTTTGAAATTCAAATATCCCTGAACTACTCTTATCAGTTAAAGAAGTTTTCGAAAAGAGCATGTTTCTTCAATGCCTTTTGACAGATTAGGGCCATTTAATGATGACTTGACATGGAAATCTTACATATTGCATCTTTATAACTTCTAGAATCCACTCTTTAAGCTAAATGAATATATATATATATGCCAGCAGCATCACTGAAAACCAGGCCTAGTTACAGTCTGTATAGTTGAAACAGCCTCGTTACAGTCTGTATAGTTGAAACAGCCGAGTTACAGTCTGTATAGTTGAAACAGCCTCGTTACAGTCTGTATAGTTGAAACAGCCGAGTTACAGTCTGTATAGTTGAAACAGCCGAGTTACAGTCTGTATAGTTGAAACAGCCGAGTTACAGTCTGTATAGTTGAAACAGCCGAGTTACAGTCTGTATAGTTGAAACAGCCTAGTTACAGTCTGTATAGTTGAAACAGCCGAGTTACAGTCTGTATAGTTGAAACAGCCGAGTTACAGTCTGTATAGTTGAAACAGCCGAGTTACAGTCTGTATAGTTGAAACGCCGAGTTACAGTCTGTATAGTTGAAACAGCCGAGTTACAGTCTGTATAGTTGAAACAGCCGAGTTACAGTCTGTATAGTTGAAACAGCCGAGTTACAGTCTGTATAGTTGAAACAGCCGAGTTACAGTCTGTATAGTTGAAACAGCCGAGTTACAGTCTGTATAGTTGAAACAGCCGAGTTACAGTCTGTATAGTTGAAACAGCCGAGTTACAGTCTGTATAGTTGAAACAGCCTAGTTACAGTCTGTATAGTTGAAAAAGCCTAGTTACAGTTTGTATAGTGGTGCAGGTGCTGGTGTTGGCAGTTTAATGAAGAGAGAGGATTGCGTCGCTGCAGGCTTCTCTCAGCAAAGGTTAATGATGCTTTTGTGATATTTCCGAGCCTGTTTTCCTCCGTTCTCAGGATCTGATTAAGGACCTGCACTCGGAGCTGTCGGGAGACTTCCGGAAGCTGGTGATGGCCATGATGAAGACTCCGGCTCAGTTGGATGCATACGAAATCAACAGTGCTATAAAGGTGAGTGTAGAGAAGGACAGACTACTGAGGTAATCACTGACGCTTGTATGTTGTTACGCCTTTTTTTCTTTACTGTTTTGAACGCCATTAAATTCAAATACATTACATTTCATTGTTTATGGTTCTAAATCACAAAAGCAGTAATCTCGGAGGGGACGTCAATTCAACAACAACAGATCAGAGAATCAAACCGCTCAAACACAAACAAAATGTAGTAATAAAAAACAACTCCTTATAGAGCAGGATGACCCATATCCACATGTTTTTACAAATGTTGATGTATGAACTTAAACTTTCCGGATCATCATGATATAAAAATAATTAAATGAAAGAAACTTCCAAACAATGATTTGCAAAAACTGCTACAAAAAAACTGCAAAAAATGTATTCTTTTGCGCTCCAATGCACTGTCATTACAACAAAGTGTAACAAACATAACAGCAGATGAACCTGGGAGAATATTTTTTTATTCTTTAAAAAAAAAAATCCATCCACATACAGTCTATGGTTGGTTGGAATCAAATCGGTCAATTCCATAAATACAACAAAGATTTATTTTGCCACAAGTTATTATTATTCTCAAATAAGTATTACTCAAACTTAAAAATGCTCAATATGTAAGGTTTGATTTGAAGATATAATATTCAACACTTTTATTGTATTTCACTAGTTATAGTTATATAGGAAGATTTTCCAACATTTTAGGAGAGACCTGCCCTACTCAGAGGGAACGCCTATTATAACGTGTCTCACATATCACCAGAATGATTGACAATTATGAGGACCAATAGTCTAGATCAGTGTCTCCCAAAGTGGGGTCCGCGGCCCCCTGGTGGGCCGCGAGGGTACTGCAGATGGGCCACGGGAGGTCATAAAAAAAAAAAAATAATAATATAATTATTTAATGTTAAATTTATAACGTTTTGTTTGTAATATTAAAATATTTGTGTTCATTATTTGACTTTAATAATCCACTGTAATCATTTTTGTATTACAATGTTTGTAGCAGAGGCTATTTCCCCAAAATAAAATAACCAGAAGAGCCTATTCTTAATGTTGTCTTCTTGGTTATTATTTTGGGGGGCCACGCAGACCCGTCAGATTTTTAAGGGGGCCGCGGTGTTACTGAGTTTGGGAATGGCTGGTCTAGATGATTCACCCAGAAGAAAATCCTTCCATAACTCAAGGTAGAAATCACTGAAGCACAAGAAATAAGCCTCATCACAATGGATCAAGTATGTTTTACTGTTACACCGCAAATATCATAATATCTAAACCATTTTATATTTGATGAACACTTCCTCCCCAGTTTGACCAGCAGTGGGGATCACCAGCACGTGTCCAGTGATCATAGTAATCAGTGGTTGTTTTGTGTTGACAGGGCGCTGGAACCGACGAGGCCTGCCTGATAGAAATCCTCTCGTCCCGATCCAACGCTGAAATTAAAGAGATAAGCCGTGTCTACAAAGAAGGTGAGCCGCAGTCTGAAGCGCGCTGTATTCAGAAAAGCTTATCACGGTTTTGTTAATGATTGGGTCAGGAGGCCGTGGCGTGACAATGCAGAACTGCGGATGTGAGGAGGAAGTATGGGGGGGTCGGAAATCAAATGAATGACTGGAGGATATAAAGAGTCAAAAGTGGAACAGCGTGAGCCAAATGTTTGTGTATGCAGGCCTATTCACCTGTCCAGTACCGCAGGACGAGATATTGAGACAAGGCAGCGGCGATTGCACCCATAACCAGGTTTATTTTCGAGTCCTTTCAGATCGAACAAAAGGAGACAAAGCTTTTTTATATGATTTGTATCAATGTGCATGACAACACTTGAGATATTAATCACACATGCTGAAGACAATGTGGGAAGTTCTTCAGATAATTATGTTTAGCAGTAATACAGATGTAACAGGGGTCCACAGTACAAAATATGCAGGTCAGATTACACAGGTGCAGGTGCCTCATGTCCAGCTGCATGTATCCTCACGTATCCTCATGTCTCTGACTGAGCTGGCACAAAGTTCAGCGCGATACTGGTCGCGTACGTGGACTCACTGGTCCACGTAAAATTAGCCTTTATTGGCTAATTTAGTAATTGATGAATCAGTATGTGAACCTCCTATAGACTTAAGCAAACTGAGAAATTGTTTATGACTCTGATAATGAGATAATGCTATAATGACTGCAGAATGAAATTCTTTACTGTACACAAAACATTTATTAAAGAACGGTTTAATAAAATGATAATAATTGTGTGGAAGCATAAACTAAACTTAAGCAGCTTCTTTCCTTTATAAAGTTGTAACTGTAAAATATATAATATGTTTTTAAATGTTTGTATTGCTCATTGCACTGTGCTGTGACTGTAGACGACTTATTATGAAAGTCTGAAGTCTGAAATTTGAAACGACTATCCTCCGTTTCCCACTGTTGTCCCCACGTCTAAAAAAACGCTGGTCTGCAATGTGTATAAAGCTAAAGAGAACAACATACATACTATACAATACAATACAATACCATTTTTTCTTGTATAGCCCTAAATCACAACAGAAGTAATCTCAGAGGACTTCACAAAACCATTGAAATCACCAACACAGATCAGAGTCCTTTCTATTATTTCTCATTCCCCATTTGTGATAAGTCACTAGTATAGTTACGGAGTGCCATCCCTTCTCCATAACTTAATAATTGACAAGTACTAGTTTAGAATGTATGTACTGCCTTAGAACTCAATGTAGTAACTTAAAGCAGCCATCTAGTTCCTGGCTCTGGTTCGCCCACTAGTTTTCACATGCATGCATTTTTGGCCTCTTTGTTTCAGCTTTTAAGACAGAAAAGTGTGAAAACTGAGGACCACCCTCACTCAGCCAATCAGCTCTAACCCCATGGCGTCAAACAGGAACTCTTTATAGATATAGATACTTTATTCAGGTGTCCAGCGCATATAATCTGCATTTGCATTTTGTACATCATTCTTAAAGTTACTAACAATGGTAACAAACACTTTCTGATGAAACAAATACAAATTATTATGTTTGGGAAATGTCAGATACCCATGCGTTTGTTTTTCAGAATACAAGAAGAAAATGGAGGATGAGATTAGCAGCGACACATCTGGCCACTTTAGGAGATTGCTGGTTTCTCTCGCACAGGTACAGTATCCGATCCACCCACTGTTATTATTCACAAAGACAGGTGTATAAAGCCATGGACTTACCTTTACTTTGGTGTGAAAACCAGGGCAACCGCGATGAAAGGGAGCACGTGGATATGTCTATGGCCGCACAGGACGCACAGGTAACATGCATCATCCACTCAGTTTGTGATTCACTCGTGTTTAGGATCGGTTCGGGCTGAAGTTTTTCATTTCTCATTTAAGGCTCTGTATTCTGCTGGAGAGCTGAAGCTGGGCACTGACGAGTCCAAATTCAACGCTATTTTATGTGCGCGGAGTAAGACCCATCTCAGAGCAGGTATTTGCACTTTCAAATGATGTCACATAACGTTATTAAATTCCAGCGTTCATTTTGACAAGAAGCAGTTCATACACAAGCAAATTAAAAGTGCTTAACAAAACAAGATCACAAGAAAGAACAAAAAAACAATCACGCTAGGATTAAAATCAATAATTGTACGAACATAATTTTTTTAATAAAATATGCATAAATGACACACACACACACACACACAATACTAACATGTAAACAGAAGTATTTTTGGAAGGACTTTAAATGAATGTTTACAGTTTGCAGGAACACACGGATCTGTGTATTATTTTTACTTTTGAATTGACTCCGCCCTCTATAGTACGCTGTGTCTCATAACTGTACCCATCCAGGCTACATTTCTGGTCAAATTGAGTAACATTACATTAAATCTCTCTTTGAATGAAGTTTTATTTTGGGCAGACAATGGCACTGCGGTTAGAACTCGTATTTCACAGCAAGAAGGTCCTGAGTTCGATTCCTCCTCCTGTGCTGCCTTTCTGTGTGGAGTTTGCATGTTCTCCCCGTGTCTGCGTAGGTTTCCTCCGGGTGCTCTTATTTCCCATTCCACTAAACACATGTAAGACACTCAGACAATAGGTATGAATACAATGAGTGAGTGAATGGAGGGTGTTGATTGTGATGTGCCAGTGTGTTCGGCGCCTCGTTTCCGTTAGTGCCGTGTGTGGGGAGAATGGAAAAATATCTAATATGTATCTAATATTGTGAAGGGCTTTGGGTATCCTTGGTCTGTAAAATGCACTATATATAAGATTATCTACATACTTATTTTTGTCACTTGTCATTACAGACAAGTAACTTTACAGCAGAAAGACAGAAAAGCTGTAAGAGCTAGTGCTTATTACGTATTATGCTTACTCTTGTGTATATATATCACAATTTACAGAAACCGCTGTATATAAGATTCTGAGTTTATGTATCCATCCAAAATGATGGATAAACTTCTATTTAAAGTGGAAGAGTGAATAACATGATATAGTAGCAAAAAAAGTAGTAAATATCTTTTATTTATATAGCGCATTTTTACAGACCAAGGTCACCCGATGCGCTTTACAATGTTCAGAGTACAGATATTTTTCCATTCTCTCCACACGGTGATGACAGTCTCGCTTGGTACAGTCAACACCATCCAATCACTCACTCATTACATTCAGACCTATTGCACATGTTTTAGTGGTGGGGGAAGCCAGAGCAACCGGAGGAAACCTACTCAGACACAGGAGGAACTTGAAAACTCCACTCAGAAAGGCCGACCGGGATTCAAACTCTTCTTGCTGAGAAGCGAGTGTGCTATATATAAGTTATATAAGTATAAGTATATAAGTTAAGATAAGATAAGATAGACTTTATTGATCTCACACAGGAGAAATTTGCATGTCACATCTGGTATGGATAGAAACATTCAAGATTGTGCAAAAGAAAGAAAAGAATCCGTGCATCCATTCCAGAGATCTTTCACCATTAACCAAGACAAACTAGCTTGACGTGTTCTGTGTTTGTTTCCATGGTAGTGTTCATGGAGTACCAGCGCATGTGCGGCAGAGACATCGAGAAGAGCATCGGCCGTGAGATGTCTGGAGACCTGGAGAGCGGCATGCTGGCTGTGGGTGAGTGAAGCAGCCACACCCATGAACCCGAGTCTGAGGGAGGTGCCCAGGCTTGTCCGTGCTCCTGACATAGCTACAGCTCTGTTCAAGCTCGAGAAAACCAAACTCAAAAAGTAAAAACGTGTATCTTGTGTCTCTCTTTTTGCCGACACTACCCCCAGCCCCATGGTACAGTAACTTCACATGGCTTCGTTAATGTGTTCTTTGTCATTTTCATATATTTGTGTGGAGTTTGCAGTGTTGTGTGTCACGTTTGTTGTTTTTCTTTTCAACGCTACGACTACCACAATTCTGAAACTCCCAGAGCCATCATTTAGTCTTATTTTTATTGTATAGGGACAGAACAAGAAGCAAATAACCAACTCCATGTTCATAGGCCATATAGCTAACGGCTAATTCGCAGATCTAATATTATGACTAATAATAAAATAAAAAATACACCCGTTTTTCTAAAAGAATGTAATTTATAATGTTTTTACCTGTGAGAGTGCTAAAACTGGTGAATTTTTAAGAAGTACAGCAAAGCAGTTTGTTGAAAGGCGAATGCTAAAGGCTAAATGCTAATTGCTGACAGTAAACAGTGTGTTGCTACGGTAACTAGCTCACTACTTGCATGGAAAAAAAATGACATAGAAATAAACTATATATACACAAAAAATGTCACAAAGTTGGGAAGACCAAAAATTTACACAAGCTGAAAAAAACACTTCCAGAACTAAAAGCCGTCAAATTGACTGCTCTGGGAGATCTAGAGTTAAGGTGACGTGTGGTGTTTACAGTGACGTTATTATGTTATTATTCTATTCTCGGCTTTCAGTCACATGGCCCGGACTTGGCAACGGTTGCTATCCAGTATATTTGTGACTAGACAAAGCTGCATTCCCTGCGTTGTGAGTCATAGGTCACTGTATTGTTGTCGATTAAGGTTCGAAAAGTGACAAAAAGGAGGAGGTACTTTGTGCATTCAAGCCTAAAGTAGTTACTAATCAAGGAGAGGATCATGAGACGCTCACTCAGTGCAACACCGAAAAACAATTCAAATTCTGTGTTGTTTTATTAAGATATGCCGCTATGTGTAATTGTTATGTGATTCCACCCAACCAGGAGTTAGTATTTGGGGTATTTAACTCATTGACTGCCAGCTGATTTTGATGATTTCACTGATTCTCAAGACCCACAGAATATTATTTCCTAAGATTATGTGAAATGTCAAACCAGATTCTGAAAGACTGGATTGTCTACTTGGATCAGCAAAAATAAGTTTGCTTTTATCTATTTTTATTGTCCTGTAATCCCCAGTCGAATAGAGGGTCTCAGACAAATACGTCAAAGGCAGTGAATGAGTTAAATGAATTCAGAATAAGCAAAACCCAAGTCGCAGCAAAACCAAAACATAATAACACCAACCAATTCGCCTGCGGTTTTCCATCCAAAACGGCGTAAATATACAATGCAACTGAAAATCTAATTCCTCTACTTAATACGAGCTTTTTCTATTGCTGTATTTTACCACGGAGAAGCAAAACTATACGCTGAAGTTGACCTTCTGACTCCATTGATAATGAGGAGACACAAAAAGAAGGGCACAAAGATGGTGGATGTCCATACTTGGAAAGCCCAGTGATGTCACATGAAAGCTGAGACTAATGAGGCTTTAGTTGACGAGAAAAACCTGTATTCCACTAAAGACTTGTCAAATCCTTACTATTGATAACTGTTTGGGTTTAGAAAAATCTATCAATACTAATCAAGTTCTGACTGCATATCCAACTATAGTATATACACTCATTCGAGATTCAACTAAACTTTTACCCTCAAACTGTCAGTAAGTGTCGGGACCCAACATGTAAGGCCAAGCTGCAAACGAAAGAAATACTGATTTAGTGCATAAATAATGCAAAATACTGAAGTTTATATCAAGTTTCAACAGATTTAGATTATGTTTTATTTAGTTAAATATAAAATCAACAGCATATTCCTCACCATATGTTTTATTTCTATAACTTGAAAAAGCCAATTTTAGATTGTCATCATTGAAGGCATCAATTAAGGAGAATAACATTATTTTACAGCATTTATAATGGTAGGATACCGTTTACACAATTTAAGAACAAACATTGTGAGTCGCCCAGGGACTACAGGTGGATCTTTTCTTTTGTAAGGTCCAGGTCCTGACCACCAGCGAGAACACAGTGACCACTCGACTCTATTACTTACATGTTTTTGTTTTGTTATTGGTGAAATTTATTTTGTGTGTGCAGCCATTTATGTCTAGTGTTTGCTTGCACAGAAATAATTCATGATGATAAGTTGTAAGTTTAAGCGGTCAGAGGTGGTGTAAGTATTGTTGTGTTTCCATCCTGATTATGTCCTGGTCTGCTCCTTTCAGTCAAGTGTATTAAGAACACGACTGGCTACTTCGCTGAGAGGCTTTACAAGGCCATGAAGGTTTGTCCCTCTGAAAGGAACTGCACCTTATTGTCCTGAATATTATGAATACAATATAATTAAACTGCGTACATGACGTCCTTGTAGGGAGCTGGGACTAAGGACCAAACCCTGATCCGGATCATGGTCACCCGCTCAGAGGTGGACATGCTGGACATCCGTAAAGAGTATGTCAAAAACTATGGCAAGTCGCTCTACACGCACATCTCTGTAAGTATTCTACAGCAAAAATATATAAGATAAGATAAACTGTACATACATTTCAACCTCATTTCCATAGTATTATAATGCCGTATGGTAGGGGTGTCAAACTGGTTCCAGAAAGAGCCGGTGAGGCTGCAGGTTTTAGTTTCAACCTGAGTAGATCCACCAGACTCAACCCATCTTCAGGTTAAAACTGGTCTCACCTGAGGAACTGGGTAGAGCTTTCTGTGCTTCTGCTCAGGTTGAAACTTAAACCTGCAGTCACACCGGCCCTTTGAGCACTGCTTTGACACCCCTGCCTACATGGTAAAGAACTTCCAAAAATATCTCTGGTGGAAGATCAGTCCTTCGCCATCACCTTCAGCCATTGGTTTTGCATTACATTTACTGATGGCTTTATATTGGGGTAAAAACATGGATTTGATTCTTTGTTATAATCTAACATGGATCATTATATAAAAAGAGAGATGTGAAATGTCAATAATATTTTATTTGTACTAAAAGTCCACATGACATTTTAGTATTGATTTTCTCATATCTGAGCAGTAATCTGTCCACATTTTTTATGTGTCCCCAGATATCAGGTCTCATGTACAAATCATATTTGACCTTTTCTGAACATTAGAGTGAAGTTATTCTTAATTAAAAATACAAAGAGCAGGGGAGGGTTTATGTTTACAATTGTGAAACTGTTGCACATCAAGCTACAGAAATAATTCAGAGGTTTCTGTCAATACTCTGCTCTGAAGGCAGCATTCTGATTAGATGAATGTAAAAAAAAGTATACAAAGAATAATCAAATCAATAGAATACTTGATTACTAAAATAAAAATTAGCTGCAGCCCTTGTCAAGTGATTTTTTTCTTTCCCTCTTCACACTAAAATGTCTGTACAATGTAACTGAAACATATGTGTATTAAGATAAGATAAACTTTATTGATCTCACAATCGAGGCATGTATATACTGTATGATTTACTGATTAGGTCTTCATCACTGTCTGCCCTGATGAATGCGTTGGTTCATCAGTGTTTTTACTTAAAAGTCAGTTTAGCCTCAGACCTCCTTTTTTCCTTTAAGAATAATTCAGATTCTGAGATAGCAATTATGTTTTTCATGCATCCATCATGACTTATTGCTCCTATAATGACTGCTGTGTGTGTGATCAGGGCGACACGTCTGGAGACTACAAGAAGCTGCTACTAAAGCTGTGCGGAGGAAACGACTGAAGACTTCTATATTTCATACGGTGTCATTAGCTTTTCTGCTTTCTGCACTTGTACCAAAGAAAAAGCAACATACTAATATGTGTAAATATATATGTGTATATACATATATATGTGTGTGTGTGTGTGCAGCTCCTGTGCCAATGCTCTCAATGCAATATCGACCAACCGTAAGCTTAAGAATTTATATCATACTCCTGCTTTTGTTTTTATATTATGTGGCGTTCGCTGTATTTTTGGAAATGTGCTGTTTTTCATAATTGCTAAATATACACAAGCTACATATTTTTACACATGTTTAGGTAGTAGTTTTGCACAGATATCGTTGTTTTACATTTTTTAAAGGGGTCGACTGATTGAACTGTTTTTGAGCCGATGCCAATATTTCTTTAGATTCTGTCAAAGAGTTAGGGGTTTTTTTCATAAAGGATTGTGTATGTCATATATCTAATGAAGAAAAAACTATTCTTTGATCAGCCACAAATACTTGGACAATTTCTCCGAGGCAGAATATAAAAAAATGATATGGGACTCTCTTATAAATATAGGGTTATTACTACATACCTTGAAATTAATAAGTTAGATTATGAATTTGTCATTTTCGCAACGGCTGTAGAGTCAAACAGTTATTGTTAGAGGTGTGTAGGAGATTGCAATACAACAAGGGATTTCTGTTTATTCTGAGATTTACATAGATTTACATCAGCCAAAATTGGATCGGTAAACCAAAAAACTTGGTCGGCCCCTAATGTTAAGACACAGCTTATGCTTTCAGTCACCTTACCATCACACAAGTGGTTAACCCACGTTTCTCTATGCAACTTGGCTTCACTGTTTACCTGTATATGCTTTTTGGAAACGACATCGCTGTTTACACTAATATATTTTATAGAATATTGCCCAAATATATTTTTAAATTTCAAAATGGGGAAAAGATTGTATGGTAGGAGCAGATAGTCAAAGAATAATGTTATTACAGTGCTAATCAGTTTTATACCTATGTAGCTGTTTCTCTGTATATCTGCGTTTGGATTTAGAAGAATATGGCTGAATGAATTACTTTGAATCTAGTAACAATATTTACCTGTACAACCTGCATTAAAGTAACATGATTACGCCAGTCATTTCAAGTTTCTTTTTTCAATGTACCCCCATCTCTGGATCAGTGTACACTTTATATGTTCTTGTACGCGTCCTGCAGAGGGCGGTAGTGTGCCATTGTAAAGCAGGGCTATCCAACTTCGAGGGCTATGACCACTTCAAATGACTTCAATATTTTAGAGATTTTCAGCAACGTTTTTTTAACTGCCTTTTCTATAATTTTGGGAAGAATGCAACATAAGTCTAAAACAACCTAAGTCAGGTAAACCAGTACTGAATCTGCAAAGGACTGGACCTTTTAATCAACTAGAATACTGAATAATTAGAAGTAATAAATGAAACCAAGCTTAAACACGGGCAGTATCCAAATTCAGTGAATAAAGGTAAAGGTGCACTTTATTTAATCCCGTATGGCAATGCCTCCTCTGCATTTGACCCATCCTGATGCCACTAAAGCTTACGTTAGGAGCAGTGGTCGCCGTAGTAACAGCGCCCAGGAACCCATCTCTAGTTCTTGATGCTCGGCTTGGTCAGGACCTGAGCTGGAGGATTTAACCTATTGTACATGTTCTTAGTGGTAGGGTAAACCGGAGCACCTGGAGGAAACCTACGCAGCCACCATGCCTTCATCCTTCTCTCTTGTGCTTTTGTCCAAGTTAAATTTAAAATGTTTTACTGCCACAAATACAAATGTGAAGGAAGGGAAAGAAAGGTTTTTATTTTTTTTATTTTGGATGAAGCCCCGGATTTAATCAATCAAAATAATACATTGTTTTTATATAGAGCTGCTTTTGGTCGTTCATAGACTCTTCACATGGCATTATTCTTTCACAATTCTACAATGAATCAGAGAAACAACAGTGAACATTACAGTATAACATGTGTAGAACTAAAAATAAATGTCTGTTTCCAAAAAATAAAATGTGAAAGTATATTTATGTAGTGCAAGCATTACTTAAAAGAGTGTAATATTGTAGCACATATATATAACACTTGTATCGCAGTAACTAGTAATATACAGACACGCTGCAAATTCAGAATAAATTTTCCCAAACCGACGGTCTAAACATACATATATGTTTTGTTTGGACAGAAGGATCAGGGGCCGCATCAGATTGTTTTAAATAAACCTGCTGCAAAGTATACATGCTTCTTTTATGGTAAGACCAGGCTTTTCATGTCCTTTTTTCAACCTAAGTGGCCCCTTTTATGAGCTCTATTACATAACACCCACGACCACACACGTGAGAGAGGCACCACAGGAAAATATGAATAAAAGCACGTTAAAAAAGAACGGTTGCCTTCTATCAATACAGTAGCAGCAGATCGCCTTGAGGGGGGTGACCTTTGACCTTTACATATAGAATCCTTCTGCTGGATTAGACCTGCCTGGGTCCATTTAAAATACTGTTAAACATACTTTGGTTGAGTAAACGCGCTCTCTTTGCCTGGATGCCCGGTCCACTGCGCCGCAATCAATAACGCAGACCTGAATAGAGGGAGAGCCACTGGAATTGATGGTGCCCATAAACCTGTAAGGGACCCTGGGGGGAACCCTGAGGGGCACCCAGGGGCAGTGACCGTCCTGGAGGCCTCAGCTCTCATCAAGATCAACCATGAGCTGAGCACAAGTGGCACAGGCGGGAGGCCAGCTGCAGGCACGGACAAGTAAGTGAGTAATGTTACTTTATATAGAGCATTTTACAGAGCAAGGTTTTACAATGTTTTAGAGATCAGATATTTTTCCATTCACAGCACCAACACCATCCATTCACTTAATTACGTTCATGATCAATTATACGTTTTTAGTGATTGGTGGAAACAGGAGCACCCGGAGGAAACTTGCGCAGACACAGGGAGAACATGCAAAATACACACGGAAAGGCCTGGAGGTGGAATCGAACCCACCTTGCTGCGAAACACAAGCTCTATCCGCTGTGCCACCGTGCCGCCCAAGATCAATGTTGTGATTACAATAACTTGAATTTGAATGAAGATTAGCTCTGATTAGAAGTCTCTTCACTGAGTAATTTAGACACCGCCAAGATGACTTTTGGAGATAATTTTAGCTGCAAAGAAAAGCGACCCAATATCATCTCTAATCAGCAATCACGCTCGGTCCTGCGGAAGGGAAGGCGGCTTTGATTAGATGTAATTAAATCCATAAGGAAAGTGAAGCAATAAACCATCCATTTTGTCAGATTTTCTATTAAATTTTATAAGAAAACGCTGCAGTAAAATGTTGCTACTGCTTACTATCCTGATGGCCTGTGGATATCGGCCCTCTCTCAGACTGGATATGAATCTATAATAGTACTTCTTTCTAATTGAGTCAGCATTGTGAAAAAAATGTTATGTGGCTTCAAGCTCCGACCATAATTACGTGTGGACCATTTTTCCTGATGGTGGAGATATGGAAGCCCCGAGACAACATTGTCAATATGATTCTATTCTAAAACTTGTATTTTTCATTAGCTCACAAATACAGATCTTTGTGACGCTTTAAAAATCCACTAATTGTGATAAATGTAACGGTAAATTCGCTCTCGACTTTGGTGCTGAAAGGTTGTTACAGGGGTAGGATGAAGCAAACATGACAGCCAAATTAAAATCTGGGTCAATATTGAAAATCATTAGTTGAAATAATTGTGTAGAAAAATGTATCGACTGAACATTTGCCTTTTCTGAATAGTTTGATGCATAGGAAAGAGAGAATGGACTAAAATGTTGGTGCTTCTGTGGCATAACAAACTAGCTTGAGTGTATGTGACATCACAGCACTATAGCTTATAGTTTAACATTGAGGGCATCTTTAAAATCTCTCAATGGTAAGTGTCAAATGATTTTTCTGTAATTCCTGAGCCAATCCACAGGAAAACAAAACTGTCACAAAGTTCCACATCTTTGTCAGTGCTTATCAACTATGGTCTATTAATTTCTTCATAACGGTTTTGAGAATTAACGCAAATTCCAATACATATACTGTACTGTACATGATGTTGGCCAGTAGAAAGAGCTTTCAGAGGTAAGAATAATGTAGCGGCTTTGTAAATCTAATCTTTGTAATAGAGAAAAGATCTTCTGATATTGAGACAAAACTTGATAATGACATGAAGACAAAGTCAAATGGATTCTATTCTGTTCACCTTGACTTATTACCCTAGTTTCTTTCGTATTTTCAGACAGTTTTGTGTGTTTTGCCCAAGGACACGATGACATTTTTTTAAGACCAGAAAAGATTTGTTGTACCAAACAGTTTAGACTGCAGTATTCCTCAGACTGGTCATGGGAGGTTCCTGTGATGTGTCTTGTCAGCTATTTTACACTTTTTGGCACTGTCTTTCTACCACCTCAGGCAGGACGACAGCGCCATCTGCAGTCCAAACCGCATTGTGGTATGGGAAAAAGCCAATATCATGGAAGTTGAGTATGATAAACACCAACGCTGGATCAAAGAGGCAAACATGCTCCCAGGACTATAAACCGGGACAAAGGGGGCTGATTTACTGTCACACACCAGGGATCTGGGACTGCAGATGGCGCTGTCGTCCTGCCTCTGGTGGTAGGAAGATGGCACCAAAAACGGCAAAGCTGACAAGACACGTCACAGCAACATCACGTGACTCTGAGGAAGACTGCAGTGGAAAGTGTCAGGTACAAATAAACCACTCTGGTCAATGAATCTCGTACTCTGACACAATGGAAAAACGTAAAGCCCGGAATTAAACTCCCAACCTCGCATCCAGCTTTTTATTATAATTCTTCCCTTTTTTTGTGTCGCAATCTTATCCTCATAACCACGCAGGGTAGAAACACAAGGGACCAATGTGTCATCATCTCTGCAGGGCCCTGGCATAAACAAGTGAATTATAATTAAAATCCATCTGAGGGCATAGCGAGCAGCTTCCACTGGCTGTGCCCAGGCAGAGGGGAAGAGAGGAGAATGGAGCAAGGCTGGAGCTGTGACAGACTAAATGTGATTCCTTGCATTCACATGAATAAGGTCACACTGTGAGCTGTGCCTATAGTAGCTACATCAGCCTGCCATGTGCCAAGAGCTGCTCTGTAGGAAGGGAGGAAGAGTGCATCCATCTTCATCATCATGCTGTATTCACAAATCCTCTACACCTCACAATAAAAATGTCATCTGCTGGGTTATGTTACTGCTGCTTCAATGCCCACCTGTTTATAACAAGCACAGACAGGCAGCTGTATAGAAACGCTGGATGCAAAGAGAGAGAAATAGGGCCAACAATGACAGCCAGACTATGGAAACATGGGTGACTGTGTGTACATTGAGATGATTCAAAACAAAGTGAAAAAGAATATATAGGTGGAATCCAATTTGTGCAAGGTATAGGCCATGTTTTCAATTACATTTTGAAAAGCATGCGAGTTCTTTGATTCATGATAATCAGATTCTGATTCTGGTATTAGCGATAGTTAAACCTGCTTCATGGAGAAAATTGTAAAACTTCACACAGAGATTATAGCAGAATCTCCACAACGAATGTTATACCTATAGGGATTATTTGTGCTTGGTGCAATGGAAAAGCAAAAATCTCTTCAGACAGAAATAATGTTAGAGTATGTTGATCATTTTAAGCATGTAACAATAATTTAATGCATATAATGTAGTGATCTGTGATAGATAGGTGATGAAGAGGCTTTACATTGCAATACATTCTCTCTGAATAAATTAACTGCCACTACATGCCTGACGGAACAAAACTACAATCTGTGGCACTGGCCCATTTGACAATTACCTGTTAACGCCAAATTCAGACGATGTAAGTGTGATGTGACTGTATATAAGGACACAATCATAGACGCCTTATCCAATGGCCTAGTAAGGAAAACAAAAAAAAGGCGATTTGTTGATTTTTATGTCAACCAACTTTGGATGACTCCTGGCTGTCTCCCTGGGGAGGTGTTCCATGTAGGTCTCACCAGGAAGAGATCAGGGGAAGACCCAAAACATGTTGGAAGGACGTCTCTTAGCTGGCCTGGAAACCGCTCAGGATTCCCTCGCATGATCTGGAGGAAGTGAGTGTGGATAGTCTGGGCGTCTCTGCTTAGACTGCTGTCCCCACGACCCGGCAACGGATAGAGTGGAAGAAAATGGATTGATGGCACTTCACTTTGCCGCATGACTCGTATATCTTGAGCCATGTTTTTGAAGCAGGCCTGTTTTGGTCAAGTTGTTTTTGCATTAAAGATTGTGGTTTTGATGAACACTTTGCAAGATGTCACTTGACATTTATTTGGATCATTACATTGATGTAAGAGTAGCAGGTTTCAGATTTTAGGGTTCGGGTTGGCACTGTGAGGGCTACAATCTTGGAGTCTATGGATACATGAAGGTGGCACCTGCTATTCCCAGTGAGATCTGACACTACCTCTGCTTTACAATTCAAGAATGTTCTTTCAGCCAATTTATTCATAGTTTTCATGCAAATACTTGCTTTCTTGATTTAATGCTCTTGGTGAAAATCCTTTCTGATGCATAAATATGTGCTATTTTGACCCATTACATGCACACTATGCCTCTTTTTGTATTTTGATCCACACTCAAACTGTTTACGAGTGGAATGACCAAATACTGACATAGTGGAAAAAGCAGATTTGAACATAATCTAGCAGGAGCCAATTTCCTTATATGGGCATTTCTTCCACGGATCTTTGTGCCACTGAGGCCACTTTCATGAGGCAGGAGTTTAATTTTCAATGCAAGTCAACAGGAGCTGTAGAAAAACGTTGTCCATGAGCACTTCCCTATTGGTCTTCATTGAGCTAGCAGGTTAGCATTGTCCATCTATATACAAAGTATCACTGGTAAAAGCGTTTCTAAGGCAAGTTGGAGATTCCCCCGTGAATGAAGACATCTGATTGATCAAACTCATATGGCTCCTATTTGGATTTACAAAGACACCAGGATCACCATGAGACTTTTTAAAGCCCAAATGGTGAATGTTATCATTATTATTATTATTATTATTATTATAAAGGGTGATACAAAAAATAAATTGAATTTTACTTTTCAATGTAAACATAGGAGCCAGAGCGAGTTGGAGCAAAACTTCGCCCATGAGCACTTCCCTATTGGTCTTCATTGAACTTGCAGATTATCATTGTCCATCTGTACACAGTCTCTGCGCATACTGTACATTCCCACGCAGCTCACACACAACAGACCCTGATCTCCGTACTACGAGCTCGTGTCCGCCCATTGAAGAAAGAGGCGTGTCCTGACTCCGACCCCGCCCCTTTTTACCTTATATGGGCCAGTGAACCCGGTGTTGATTGACAGCGCGGAGCAGCTGCTGAGATGTGCCCAGACCGTAGACATGGCGGAGGACACAGCGTAGAGGGGAGTTTGTGTTGCCGACTTTCCCCCGGTGTTCGTAAGCACTGCGCCCGGGACTGAACCGAAAACACGACCGAGGACCATGCGCACTCACACGGGACTACGGACAAGACCTGAACCGTGAGCCATGGCAGAATGTACGGCTGTGTAGAGCAGGCAACAGCCCCGGGCAACAAACATGGCTCCTCCTTGTGCCTTCTGCTTTTTGCGCTAAAATTCTGCCAAATGCCGCAAAGTTCGCCCAGCCTCGGTAAGTTGAGTTTACCCGTGTGAGAGGGGGTCTGCCATCGGCTTGCCTTGGCCGAGCGTGAGTGGGGGTTAGCCTGGGAAGCTACGGAACTACCACTACTACTGCCAATAGTAGCAGCAGCAGCAGCAGCAATGGAGCCAAAGCACAAAGAGTTGCTCGACCAGTGCCACCAGAACTTACTCGAATCTATCACCGACGCCGATCGGTTAATCGAGTTGCTCATAGTCTCCGGGACCCTGAGCCAACTGGATCGGTTCGAGTTGGACCAGAACTGCACGTCCAGCGCGGAGAAAGTGGAGCACCTCTTGAAGATGCTGGTGAACAAGGAGAGCGATCATTTCTCTGACCTGTGCCTGGCTTTGGAGAAGGCGTACCCCGATCTGCACTCTGCCCTGTTCAGAAGCAACGGTGGACCTGTAGATCACTCCACTGGTAAGAGGGTGCTAATTAACTGTGGTAATTACACTTGAATAGGTGGGAGAATGTAGGGAAAGGGTAAAGCAGACGCTGCGTGGTGGTACGTGCACTTCTCCATGCGATTTGGGTGGTCCTCATCGGGGTGAAGAGGGATAAGGTCAGAAATCAGTCTCTGCTCACGTTTTGTGGATAGAATCGGCCAGAAAGTCTTATATCAATATAGAACACATGGGTATTTTTTTTTTTAGTGCGATGATCAGGTAATCCCAGTTTTGAAACTCATCTGCCAGTAGATTTGTAAAAGCTTGCATATGACAAGCTTTTCCAAAAGAGGTCCCCATTTTTGACCAGTATACTATCAAACAGTAGAAGAGGGATTATACTCTCACTTTTTCCATCTGTTTATGGTTTGACCAGAATTGCACAGTCTGGGCTTAAACATGATAAAACGCCAAACTACTTGCCAGAGTTGGTCTTTGAGCTTGAATACCGATTCCTAGGGCATAATCTATTGATATGGTTCTCATTTAATAATCAATTACTATTATCCAATGATTTGAGCCTTACATAGACTTACACCTACTGAGATGTTTTATGACAATGTCTGCAGAATGAAAGTAGAACGTATTCTTGCTCAAACAACCCAAAGTGTAACAAAGTTCTCCCGGGGTCTCACTTGAACGTTGTTTTGGTCACATGTAAAAAAAAAAATTCAATTTTCCCTGAGTTTTGGCGTTTAAACCATAAATCATGTAATCGCAAGAATAATTGGCCAACTCCTCAATGATGAAACGCATTTAGTTTAATTACAGCCAGAATAGATTCTTAAGTGAACCATGGAGTCGTGCATTTCACCCACCACTGAGACATTTTTCTGCCACTTCACTCCTTCCCTTGCGTGTCCCAGTTTGGAATTGAGAATCAAATTTTTTTTTTTATGAAATGCTTTACAAAGTCCCTAATTATGGTTTATAATATTGTTCAGTTAGAGATGTTGAGCTTTAAGTCAGTGTTTGATTCATGATAATTATTTGTAATAACAAATAACCATTGCATTATGTGATGGCATCTTCTTCCAGTCATTTGGACTGAACACTGCAGAATTATGTTTTCTGTCAAACTGGTTCACGCACCATTTTTATATTTTATTGAATTGACAGAATAGACCTGTCAATGTTAAATGGAAATAGTGGTTTGAATAGTCTACTTTTGAGTAAGCTTAACTTTCAGTCCTGCATAAGAACGTTGTGTTTTCTTGGAAGTATTTTCTTAAACCTTGTTCCATGGAAATGTAAACATAATTTAGGCCTGGAAAACCATCACTTTAGAGATGTTTGGTTTAAGTTGTGTAACTGATGTTAAACAGTATTGTACCTGTCGCCCTGGAGGAAATTAGTCTGTGCTCACAGTGACGCTCTGATACGCTCAACATACAGACGCACCATCAGAAGTCAGAAGGTTGTTAATGTTTTTAATTTATGTTGCAATTGTGGGACGGAGCCAGGAGGTCATAACAATTGCAACTTTCAGATTAATACAATCTCTGAATGATACAGACACTCAGATGCTTCACATGTCATTATTCATTCACTGCATACACAGTGGTGATAAACTACTACTGTAGCCACAGCTGCCCTGGGGCACACTGACAGAAGTGAGGCAATCATTATGGCACATATTGAATGCCTCACTTCTGTCCCCTCTGGCCACCACCAACCATTTTCACACACACCAGACTCATTCTAGGCAACGTGGGTGAAGTGAAGACACAACGACAGTTTGGCACTTTACATCCGTAGCTGCCCCCCCATACTGGCTCATTTATGACCGTCCTGTAGAATCGGCATTGTCTAAATAATCTTGACCACCGTCTTGGGCTCATTTGTTCGTAAACATGCTGTGAAGTAATCTAAAACCCAAAGGCAAAATCTCAGTATTTATTGATGATGATTATTCCCGATGTGGTGTTTTATTTGGTTAAATCTGTCTCAATTGAGTTATTTTCTTCCCATTTTATTTTTAAATGTTATAGTTAATGTATAACTGTCAAAAATGGACACATGTCGCATTTCCTGATGTAACGGGTACTGCACTTACGGTTTAAACATTACATTACAGATCAGCATACTGCGTCTTTAAACTTAATATGCGCGCCGACCCTGGAGACCTTATGCACAGCTTGTGATTAATTTAGTCAAGACAGACTGCTCCCCTCTGCCTTCACTATTCCTCCCTGACACAATGCTGTCTCCCATTCATCGCGACACACCAAATGACACAACACGAGCCAGCCTGTTCCGTCATCAAATTGCCCAAACGAGCCTATTGCGCGCCGCTGTGATGATTTTGTGCAAGTGGCACCGTAGGCCATAAGCCCATCCTCTCATATCCTCAAAGTCCAATTTGCTACTGGTGACATGATATGGTACATTAGGTAGCCAGACCTGTTTCCATGACAACACTGTTACCGCTGACATGTCGGACTGTATCAACCTGTGCATGGGGGTGTGTGTGTTTGAGTGAGCGAGCGAGCAGCCTATCCATGCATGCTTATTAACCTGAAGCATTGTGTTCAGTGGACTTTAGCGTACATGGGGAGTAAGCGGTGTTGACATAGGCTATTTCCCCCCTCCCCTTTTTTAAATCTCTTCATCCACTCTTATGGTGTCGGTGCTGCAATATGATTTGTCGTTTAGTTCTTTCTCTATGCAGGAGCGGGTTCGTGCTCCGCGGTTTGAAAAGACCGGGTAACCATGTGTAAAAGGTCTGGTTTTGCCTGTTCGTGGTTGAGACTGCATGAGGACACATGCTAACTCACTAGAGCCCGAATGGCCTCAGGGTCTTGTTCACAACAGGCCTTCAGAACACAAGGCTGGGGCAAAGCAGGATTTTTGGAAATGTTGAGGTTTGTTCTTCATATGTGGAGTGTAGTCCTGCCTGGTTTAGACTCTTAGATTTATGGTTCAGATTTATGGTTCAGATTTTGGTCTAGTTGCTGTGTCTTGGCTGGTTGTTTTTGCTCGGTCTGTGTTGGCAGATTCTAAGGGATGCTAGGCTCGTGTCATTTCCAGTGTAGTTTTGTCCTTTACATCGAGATCGGCTTAAGATTGTCTTTCAACATGATGCAGAAAAGTTTTAGAACAAAGCGTTTACTTTTCTAGTCCTGGTTCAGTTGAAATTTTGATCCTTATTTGTTTTTTTTAATTATTTTTTTTTATATAGTTTCCTCAAACCTTTTATTTATCTCTTTGGTGACAAAATATACTTAATTGACAAATGTCAGATTCCTTGTTTAAATTTTTTTTATACACCAATGTTTTAAAGTGAACACTTAATCGGATAAAGTTTAAGATAATGTTCTAGCTTACTGCATTGAAGGGAGAATATTTCTTAAAGCTTATAGATGAGGTAAAACTGGATCAAACGTCTGTAAAAATGTTTGTATAAAAAATTACAGAATGCAATTAGTAGTAGGGTAGACTGGTGATTGAATGGCTACAAACTGCTGTGTTGGGATAGAACAAATACTTTGTCAGAAAGTGAATTGTCAGTTGACACATTGTGATGCATCACTGCAGGTATTTACAATTACTACAATAATGCACACTCGCCAGGTCAGCAGGGTGCATTATAGCCTGACCTCATCAGGAAGGAATAAGCTGCAGAACCTCTTTGCCTAGCAAGGGTGGATCAGTCTGTCACTGAATCTTTCCATAGCAGATGGGTGTCTTGCAAGGGGTGACAGTCATGGTCCAGTATACATGTCAGTAAGTAATCTTTATTTATATAGAGCATTTTTTACAGACCAAGGTCACCAAAGTGCTTTACAATTTTCAGATATTGTTCCAATTATTCCACACACTGTGACGGGAGCGAGACGCTGAACACACTGGTGCGTCAAAACCCTCAACCAACACCATCCATTCACTCACTCATTACATTCAGTCATATTGAGTTGATCTTGGACCCTCATGTCTCGCCAGGGGACAGCCCAGGAGAGAAATGGACTTCCTGAAGCCCCCTCCAGCTTCTTTCTGTGATGCTGCTGCACCAGCAAACCACTTAAACCAGATGGTTGGGTGCCACCATAGAGTGACCTTCACGTGTCCAAATACAGATTGAGCTGGCTCTGAACCTTCATGAAAAGAGCATATAACTGTTTTATTATGAATATTGTTTGTTAACTTCAGATCATTACCGAGTTGCTTGTCAATTTCTCATCCTTTCTCTAGATATTCACTGCCGCTGTAGCAACAGAGTGGCATCTCTGGAAATCCACCACCATCTCCTTGTTCTTCCCTGTACAGATGAGAAGGTTGTTCAGCTGAGACTAGTCCATAAAGTCCTGCATTTGTCCTCTGTACTCTGCACCATCATGCTCAATCTTTAGTCCAATGACGACAGTCATCAGAGAACTCCTGCAGGATATGGCCATCTGTGTTGTGGCAGAAGTTTGCAGTATAGAGGGTGGAGTGATATTGCATTAGTCCAAGGACTAAGTAGGTCCAGGTTTGTGTGGCTTTTGAGATCAGATAAGACTTGTCTTCTACTATAATTATGGTCATTGTCACCTTTGTTTCCTGTGCTTCCTTGATATTGCACAGCTTTTCAATTAGAATATATGTAAGGCACCTTACCCTGACTCTACCTTCCTACATTGGGGCATTACTACCATATACTTACTTAAAGGAGTATTACTGAATGGTCTTGGTTCACTGCTGCCAACCAGAACACTAATGCATCCTGCTGTATTACTACTTCCTTGTTGCAGTGGCACAAACAAATGTATCTACTCTAACAAAATGTTCCTTCTGTGACCCTTTATTTGTCCCACAGTGTGAGAATTTATGAAGGGCAGAAGGTTGAAGCTTTTAATTGTTGACTCTTAATGTGAACTTCTGCTACATTTATTATTTTGGTTACACCCTGTGAATTGTTGCTTGTTCACATTACCGTGGTTGTTTTGTTGGTCCACCCAATGACTCTAGTCATTTCAATCCTAGCTCAAGCACTAC